ATGTTTCGTCTTGAAATTTTAACGAGTCACCTGGGAATTGCATCATTTCGTGTCATTTCTTTTCCTGTTACCCACAGAAGCCATTGTGTCCTTGTTGTCCTTTGTGTGCAACTATAATAAATAATGCTCACCCACACCCCGGCAAAATAGTAAGTAAATCGCACGCTTGACAAGAACAAGAACATGGAATCACAGAAGAACAACGGGGCAGCGATGAGCTCAAGACGCCGTGGGGCAGCACGAATAAGAGGACAAGTAGCTGCCCGGCTGTTTGAGAAAGCGGTGGGGCGTTTCGCAACGCCTTAATTGAAATTAATGTGTATCCTTTTTCGATTGTCACACACATGACCCTCTTATAATATAAAGCTACACCTAAAAAATGTAGTAGAAATGTAGACTTTCAGCTTACAATCTAAAATTATTTATAGGGATTTAACGTTCTCTTGAGAAAGCATGGATTAATGAAATCAATGCTAGATAAAATATGAGTTGATTTAATCAAAATTCTATTTCAAATATTAAAAATAAAATATTCAAAAACTAAGAACAACATTCACTCAATTTTCCTACTGATTTTCCAAGTGCATCTTCTACTTGTACCCCCTAAGGCAAATAGTTTTTTTTTGTCTTGCCCTTACTCCCACCCAAATTGACTTATGGCACAAGCAACAAGCTGCTTGTTAACTGGCTATCCCCATTTCGTAATACCCACTCCTTTTCTTTTCAGTTGCGTGCCCGAATAGTTTGGACACGCACAAAAGCGGGCTACGCAAAATAATATTTTTCGTTTAACGGTTGTTTTGTGGCCTGAGGCCGTAAACGGGGGAATAATTAGCCTTTGTTGAAGCGCCGGGTCTAATGGGCCGACGCAATTTTGATTTTAAAAGATTGCCATGCGTGCATGTCTAATGTGCCATGCTCCTTAAGATCCAGAAAATGGCCCGCACTTCCACGCTACTCCTGTGTGTTTTCGCAATCGCACTAAATAACTATAATTTTTAACGCTTGCCAAGGAACCAAAAAAAAAAAACGAGCAACTGAGCCAAGAATCAAACCATCAACAAAGGACAACAAAAGACGATGTCCTTGGTGGATTAAGTGTATCCAGTGATGGAAAAGTATAAGGGTATATAGGGTAAATATAAGCTTTAACAATCCAGACAATTTACCAGAGAGTAACTCCCATTTAAGTTCAAATTGTTTACTCGATAGTAACGAAACACATTTTTTTGATCACGGTTTTTTTTTAATTAATTGTTGCACACAGTTGGTAAACTTATAAGAGTTTCATTATAATGAAGTTATTTATTTAACTTTTAAAAAATAATGTATTTTATAATTTAATATATCTGCTGTTACATATCTCACAGCTTAATCCAACATTTTCATTGTATCTTTTAAACAGCAGGGTGTTTCAGCGTTGGACTGCTCTTAACTTTTTGTATGCGGTTCATGTGCTCCGCTGATACTCGGTCATGGATTCGAGATTTTCCCCTGCCAAAAGCCCCGTAATTCCACCTCCCTTCTTTGCCGAGTTTTCCTTTTAATTTCTCGAAAAGGTTTCTTACCTTTTGTTGTTCTTGCTTATTACGCATCGCACAAAAGCAAATATCGAGTGGAACGAGGAGTCGAGGGCGAGGAACTACTGGCTGCTCTTAGCTCTCCCTCGCCTTTTCTGTTTTATATGAATTACAATAATAAAGAAAAGGAAAATGCGAGGAAAACGCATATCAAAAGTTGAGGCAAGGCAGCCGAATAAAATCATAAAAATTACAAAAGGTATGCAGGAAAAATGAGAAGGAGCAGCAGCGGGCAGACAGCTCACGAATGCGTCCAAGAAAAATCACCGTAATAAAGCCAAGCGTCTGGGGTCTTCCCAGTGTTTCGCTGTGTATGTTGCAAATAAAACAATTTGAGTGGAAATAAAAAATAAAACAACCTGTGCCAGCTGATGGGTTAAGGTGGGTTGCGGGTTGTGGGTGGTGGGAAGCGGGAACTTAACACAACGCCCCAAAATGTAAGTGAGGTGCAATCCTTTGTAAGGAATCGTGGGGCAGCTGGATTCTCAGACAGACAAACATTACGGGGCAAACAATGCGTTGTCCTCGTCGAGGAGTAAAACACAGCTTAAATTATTAATAAGAAGCATAAGAAAAACAAATGCGAGTGTATGCCGGCAGGAGAAGATGAAGCAAGGAAGATAAAGGCGCTCAAAGGAGAAGAAACAGTAAGGACACTTGGAAAAAAGAAAATTAACCGGAAAATTACCACAATAATGTTAAAACGCTTTTGTGGAGCTCAAAAAAAATATTATTATTAACGAAAAAGCGAAACTGCGATTATCGTACTTTTTAAAAGTATTTGATCCGCTAATTTGGTCTACAGAACCGTAACAAAACTTTTTCCAGTGTAGACCACGAAAGCCAGAGCAACAGTAGCAGCGGAAGCATTTCCTTGCTCGGTCACCGGTTTCGGTCCTGTCTTGTCCCTTAAGTTCACGGTGCAATGGACGGGATAGTAAGGTCAGCGGGTAGTAGAGGGTGCTGGCCTCATCATCACCCTTCCAGCTGGCAAAGGGAATAGCTGAGCACACCTGAGTGGCTGCTGGACGAGCGAATGGCGGAAGTCCTGAAGCTTGAAGGCCTTTGAACCAAGTCACGTCGCCCAAGATGGTTTATGTGTTCTAATCCGAAACTAAATCAGTTGTGAAAAACAGATCAGAGATAAATAAATTCTTCATTTCAAGAGGGTCAAATGTAAAAACCCAGTTTTTTCCTATAGGTAAAAAAGTTTATGTATTCTGCCAAGATTGAATGAATCTTCTTTATTTTCGCGAAAAATAATGCAGGTATTCAAATACTAGTGGCCATGTAAATAAAAGGACCAACCTGCATTTATTACCAATTGAAGCATTATAAACTAAATTAAATTCTGAAAAAAGCGTCAGCTGCAGAAATAACACACCACCCCTCCTGTTCTACCCCATAAAAAGCAGACTTTTTCATTGTCTTCTGTATTTCTTTGTTATTAAATATTATTTTTCCAGCCTCACCTTTACACGGTATTTTTTAAACGCCCTTTTTATGACCAATGAAGATGCCCCCGGCCAGCCTAACCCACCCAACCAAGCCAGCCAACCAGCCCCTTCCGACCCACCGCCCCGCGTGATTTATGCCGCGCGGTCAAGTGTAAGTTCCACCGCTGGCACCTCGGGGCAGGAAATTGGGTTTAACAGCAGCAGTCAGCGGGACCTGGCAGCTCGTTTAATTCCAGCCGATTTTTTCCACCGGCCGCCGTTTTATTAAATATTTCTCCCCGCAACGGTTTTGTTGCCTTTTTATGAACTGGTTATCATTGGACTACTTTGCGTGTTGCGATTTGCCTTAATTAGTCGCGTCGGCAGATCAGGATATTAACCGCACTGAGCCGGGTTGGTTCGGGTTCAGCTCATAATTGTAAAAGCCTGTCAGCGGTTAAGCTGCAGTGGCATTTCTCTTTTTTTCGTGTTTTCTGTTTTCATAAATCGCGATTTATTGGCTGCTCGTTAACCTTTGAGCTGATGCCGATGGATAATTAAGGAATGCAAATAAAGGGACACTCTGTGATTGTTTTTTAATTGCCGTGCAGTCGGGTATTCGGAAATAATTAAAGTGCACGGCGTGGGTAAATGAGGTCCGATTTTCATATAGTGTTACATACTTTTCAGCATACTCGGCTCAATTATTTGGGAATTTCCGTTTGTTCACATGAATAAAATTATCGCTGAATTTGGCATGACAATTTTCATGCATTCCACAAGAAACCGCACACAGAAAATCCGCACAAAGTAAATGTATCTTTTGAAGTGACACAAACACTTTTGCTTATTTCTGGTTTGTGGGCAAAATCATTTAATTTTTCATTAAGATAAAATACCACGGGCTCTGGAAGGGAAAAGGCCACTGCAGGCGCTGTCATTTACGAAAAAGAGCAGCTGACAGAAGGGGATTGGAAAGGAAATTAAAAGCGCATTTATATTGGGGAGGCCTCCAAAAAAGGCTTTGGAGACTCTTTACCTACCCCGAATTGCAGCCGACTTGCGCACCCTCCGAGGGTTGCACCCCCGCTAACGAGCGTCCATTATGCAAACAATAAGCACAGTTTCCTCTTCAGATAACAAACCACAAACAAACGAACGTATAAAAATATCCCTCTTGTGGCGAGAAGAAATATTGCGCATACGCCACGCATCCTGCGAGTGGCTTTCATTCAAAAATAGATTTATGTGTGGCATTTAAGCGAGACAACAAACAAAAAAGTATATACAAAAAAAGAAACAGAAGGACAGGAAGGACACCCAAACAAAATCAAGAAAAATGTGCTCTGGCATTTATCAAACGTGACGCAATCCGTGGGAATGTTTGAAACTCTTTCCTCGCCCTTCCCACACCGCAAGCTGCTTGACACCATTATTCTTCGGCAGAAACAAACAATGTGCAGTGCATTTCGGTATCATTAAAATGTGATCACTTCGTATTAAAGCCGCAGTCAAATGAGGGCGGGAGGCGGTAGGGGGTTGGCTGGCCTGGCGCCATCTTGGGGCAACAACGATTTGATTTAGTGCCGCACATTATTTCACGTAAATATCTGTGCCGGGTCTATACGCTGAGTGTGTATATGTTTTGCAATAATGTCAACAATAGACCGGGCTCTTTGACATGTGTGCGTTCGTTGTGCCAAGTGTGTGTGTGTGCGCTCCAGTTCGTTGGCAACATTTACATTTAGCATTTTGCCCCACTTGTTGACTTTCTGCCATCGGGTTCCAGCAGATTTGCATGATTTTCGCATTTATGCGCTTAATTTACTATTTAATAATGGCAAGCAAACAAATGTTCAAGTCGAGAGACGAGAGACTGAGGATGAAAAAGGAAATGGAAGTGGAAGGGATATCGGGAAGTGCGGTCGAGAAAATGGCTGGGATGGATAATGTAATGTAATAATGAGAGATTGGATCAACTTACCTTGACTCCAATGTGAACCGGTGCAAATTCTGATTTGTGTATTGAAGGAATCGGTATCGGTAATTGCATGGGAAGGGGGCAGGACATCATGGTCGCTACCTGTGAATGCAAACAGAGAAAGAGACACACGTATGTTAGTCGGATATGGATTGGCAATTAACGGAAAGAAGTGTTTGGGTGAGGGTGGTTATTATTTTGGTATACTTAAGCTTTTAAATTATATGGCCAAGAAATCAATTTAAATTAAATGTATTTAATTGTTGGTGAAGTTGCTATTAAAAACCTCTACAGTTTTAAGATTTTAAAAAAGGTAAACGGTTTTCATTCATAAAAACTTAATGTTTACGTAAACGAAATAACTGGTCTGCTTTCACAATCCCAGTGTAAGCCTTGCCACGAGCTGAAAGCCCTCGTAAAAACATTGAGATTGGGCTCGCTGATAAGCGAATCAATGCAACAGCTGCTGCACTTTTCCCTCCGACACTTGGCCCACATAAACTTTGCGCTCTTTTCGCCATTTTCCTGTAGTTTCCAGTTCACCGTTGGCATTGCAATTTTTCGCCTTTTCAATTTCACGCGTTTTAATGGCAGCCAACACAGGAATCACCCCCAAACCCCCCGCACACTCTTGCCCCACTGTTCGCAGAGGCACACACACACACCAGCACATACAAATCCCGACCGCATTGCATTTCATTCGACAAAACGGACGAAGGACGTGGGCGGGGCGGGGCGTGACCATCGTTTCATTTGGCGCCCATCATCATTGTCATTTCCGCTTTTGCGTAACGATGTCAACGTTTTTGATGGCTTCATTTCGTTGCGCTGCATTTCGTTTTGGTTTTTCGTTTCAGGCGCCAAATAAATCATAGCCTGGCCTCCCGTTTTCCCCGCTTTTCTGACCCCTTTCTCTGCGCCGAACTCGCGCCTTTCTTTTCAACCAATAAAAAGTTTTCGACTTTGTCATAATACGAGCAGAAACGAGTATAAAAGGCTGCGGGAATAAAGAGCAGCGCCAACTACAACAAGTACAAAGTAAAATAAAATCACAGAAGCAAATATAGAGCGAATAGAATGAGAGATCCGTACACAAGAAATAACATCTTTAACTTAACTAAAAAACCAAATATTAGCTTTTAATACAACCTTTTTTTTTATAGAGAAGTTTTTAGCTCGAGGTCATGACGGCTTAGACTTCAAGTAGTCCAAAACGTCGGCATTATGAAAAAAAAAAACAACAAAAATAAAATCGAATACATATTGTAATATTTTAATATTTAAAGTTAGAGGACATTTCTTCGGCTTTGATTTAAATTTTCTGAAAAGATATGGTTAAGCCTAAGATTATTTTGCTCTTTCTCACAGTGCAGAGCAAAATGTTGAAAATTAAAATGGCATGACAAAGTGGCAAATGTTGTCAAAACTTTTGCAACGGAGAATCGGAATTGCAACATTAGTCGGCAAAAAAACGGACAGCGTGTTCTGGAAAAGGCGAGGAAGAGTGAACGTCATAAAAATGGTAGCACTCCGACAATATTTCAATTTCCGGCCTCGTTCCTCAGGCTTCTGCCTCGGGAGTCATTTCCATGCTTACAAATTCACGCCTCCCCAACTCTACAATTTGCTAAAACATTTGGGCAAAGAAATTTCCTATCGCATTACACTTGTCAGCAAACTGGCACCCTTTTGTAGCCGCAACTTGGGAGGTATTGCCAACTGACACGTGTTTCTTTTCCTGCCCAACAATCAATGACTTGTCAACGATCGATTACCAAGCCATCAACATAAATGCAGAGGCATCATAACAAAACTATTTATGTCCCACACTTTTCTCCATTCCACCTTTAGAGCCCCCTCTCTCCACGGCTTTTACTGTCTGTCAGCCGGCTGTCAGTTTGTTTACGCATTTCACACTAAATTGCTTTAAGTGCTACAAAAGTGTCATTTACATGGGCAGCTTGGCAAACTAATTAATAGAATTTCAGCATTACGTATTTGTTGTTCTGCAACTCGTTTTCCCCGACGGACCCGCCCATTGCCGCTACAGTTGTAGTCGTCATCATTATCAAAAGTAGTGCCAAAGTGCAGCGGAGCGTGGCTTGGCTTGCATTTTAATGACGACAACAAACGGAAATTGACGTTGCCTGACTGACTTTCCAACATTGTAGCCGGCTTTTTATGCTGACACGCGACACAGCAACGGGAATCGCCAGCGTCGACGAGGGGCGGATCGGCAGGCGGGAATTGCAGAATGCGAGAAACGGAGAACGGAGAATCGGGAATTCAGACTGGCAGATGGCGGGACACACTCGCAGATGAACTCATGGCCATGCCACATGTGGCAGCCACATGGACGCTAGCAAGTGCTCTCGCAACAAATGCCCAACTCCCGAACTTTCACACTAAAATTAAGATCGAAACTGGATCTAGCTATGAGTAATTCTTTGCAATAAAATGGGCTTTTATAGCTATATGCTCGAATTTGTTTTTATTGGTAGTATTAAAAATACTACATTTCTCTTAATCGCGCAAAAGAATAAACCTCTTTCTATTAAAAAATTATTATAAATAATACATTTCTCTTAATAAAATGAAACTCTTACTGCAAAAACATTCTCTTTTCTCAGTGCAAACGTTTCCTGAAAGGCCTTCCTTCCTTCATCACGACATTGATGCATGACTCCGCCTCGGTCTCGGTCCATGTCCTGATTCCTCTCGCTCCTGCCAAGCCCCCTCACTGTCCGCCACCCTCCTCCGCCCACTTTCACGACCGTTGGACCACCCACGCGTTAATTTGTCCAGTTTTGTGGTGGACATCCATGGCATTCGAGCAGGATAATAAATGTAATATGGCAGCAATGAGAGCGAAACGATGTAGCGGGACTGTTGCCTCCGATGCTGCATGCACAATTAGGCCCGAGGGGAGAGGGGGCTGCCCAGCCACCCACGAAAACAATGATTAATGAGCAGTTGCAGCAACAACAGCAACGGCAATCATACATCATTCGGTTAAGTTCAGTTGAGCGAAGTTGAAGGCCGAACGGCACAGGCACACAAACTCAGAGGCAGCAGCAATTGCAACGACACCAGCAACTCGCAACCTGTCACAATTGCAACCTGCAACAAGTTCATGGCATTTGTCGCCCGTCGTCGCCGTCGTCGAGTTTTCCACTTCACTGAGCATGCGCGACGCATCCACAGCTGCAGGCAACAACGGCACAGCAGAAGCAATAACTGCAACGGAACCCTCAGCAGCAACAGCTGTGCCAATCGTGCAGCAAATCAAGCGACCACTTTTGCACGGGTTATCCACTGCGAAAAAAATGCTATAATCTTACCAGTTGAGCAATGAGAAAATGAAATGAATACGAATTTTGAAAAAATCTATTACTATGAAATCTATAGAGGGACACCTTTATAAAATAGAGTTCGTTAATATGAACTGTAGGTTTTTAAAACGTTGTCGAAATTAAGAATTCAGTTCTAACTATATTTACTATTTTACAAGTGTAAGTTACTCTGTGAATAAATCGGGCGGAGACCGCTGCGCCCATGGCACTGATATCGCGTATTGCACAAACACAAAGGTGCCGGCTTAATGAACAGGTGGCTTGGCTTAGCCGCTGGCAGCTGACTCAGCTCCACTTGGCCCAGAGCATTGAACCTGCTCATGAGTACAATTACTTCCAATCAATTTGCATAATCATTGGAATCTCTTTAAAAGATAACAAAACACACAACAAACACGCTGTGGATCTTTTGTTCAAGTGATTAATTAACTAAGTAGTCTGCTGGGATGTTTAGTGCAATAAAAAAACATTATTATACCCGTTACTCGTAGAGTAAAAGGGTATACTAGATTCGTGCAAAAGTATGTAACAGCTAGAAGGAAGCGTTTCCGACCCCATAAAGTATATATATTCTTGATCAGGGTCACTAGCCGAGTCGATCTAGCCATGTCCGTCTGTCCGTCTGTCTGTCTGTCTGTCTGTCTGTCTGTCTGTCTGTCTGTCTGTCTGTCTGTCTGTCCGTCTGTATGAACGCTGAGATCTCAGAAACTACAAAAGCTAGAAGGTTGAGATTTCCCACACATATTCTTTGGCTTCCTACGCAGCGCAAGTTTATTTTAGCCGAGCGCCACGCCCCCTCTAACGCCCACAATCGCCCACTAACGATTTTAAAATGGGTCCTGCGCCCACATCTTTAAAGATTTCCGAGAAGTATAAATGCAATTTTGTTGTGTATATTTATACCTATCGAAATGTAGAAGACATTTTTCAAATCGGACCATTCATTAAAAAGTTATACGCAATCAAAAATTATATATCTATCTCCCTCGCACTCCCTTTAGCTGAGTGACGGGTATTAGATAGTCGGGACAACAACCCGACTATAGCGTTCTCTCTTGTTGTTATTTTACAATTGGAAGATCATAACAAGAAACTTTCTCAAAGATGAAAATTAAAAACAAATTTCCAAGTCTACAGCAACTAAATGAATTCTTCTGCTCATGCTCCCACGCTTTGCCCGCAATCAACAGATTGCCAGACAAATTTCGTATTTACTCTTATCAGGGCAAGGACTGCATCAATCAGCGAGGAGCCGGCCAAATCGCATTAAAAAGCTCAAATCGTTTAGATTTGTGACACTAAGCAGCAGCACCACCCACTTGGCCACAATCACAGCCACAGAACTGCCACAGTCGCAACCACTGCGGAAGCCTGGCAACAATAACGAAATCCAACCAAGAAATTGTGCAGATTTAGCATGACAAGTGAAAGTAAATAAAGTGAGCGGTTGCAGGGCGGGGCGAAGGAGGGAGGGCAGCCTGTGGCCAGGGATTTCTCCTCGTATTGAGCTGGCACTTTATGCAAAGAATGACGCACATATTTCACTCACAAAACTCGGTGTTGGCTTAATGCGCTAGGAAAACACGCCAAGAAGTTGCAGCCCACAACGGAACGAACTTGTTGCAACACACAGATCAGAAGAGTAATGGGCGAAGCAGGAGGAGAGGCAGGGAAATGGAATTGTAAGACTGCAAAATTGAAAAGCGAAATGCGGGCATTTGCATAAATTCAGTTCACAGCAAACGGGCG